CCCCAAGTACGAGGAGATTCATCAGCGAGCTAGAGACCGCGGCCAGTGGGGTTCCTACCGGGCAGTCTACGACGCCCAGGCGCGGTTGAAGTCGCAGTCCAACCCCGATTACGATGATTTTACCAAAGTCCTCCAATCTGTCAACACCATCGCAGGCTCATATCCAGCACAGCAGCCCGAGACCCCGAGAGACTTCGAGTCCGTCTCGGATGAGGTTCGAGACCAGCAGACATATCATCTTGTTTCCTCTGCCAGGGCCAAGAACTACACGGACCCAGAGCCGTACGACCCGCTGCACCCCAGGACAGCCCGTCGGCGTGACTATGCCGATCCTCGTATTCAGAGAGCAGCCGACTATGTCGAGGACACCGTCGAGCAGGTCCGGAGTGCGCCGCCCATCCAGCCGCCTGTCGAACTTGCGCGAGACCCCATCCTTGCCAAAGCCGCAGCGCCGGTCGTCTCGCAGCCGCAGCAGCAAGCAGCAGCACCGCCTGAAGACTACACGGCAGCCTGGCAAGAGTACTACGCCCAGCAGGCCCAGCAGTCGCAGGCCGCCCAACAGCAGCAGCAACAAGCCTGGTACGCTCAGCAACAACAGCAGCAGCAAAATGCCTATACCCAGGCCGTCAATCCATACCAAGCCTCGCAGGTGCCAACTCAGCAGCAGCCGAGCGCAGACACAAACAACCAGCTCTCGGCCATTCTCTCGGCTCTCGGCAACCAAGTTGGTCAACCTCAAGCTGCTGCTGCCGGCGCTTCTGCCGACCAGATCCAGGCCCTCATGGCTGCACTCGCCAGCGGCGGCCAGCCTCAGCCATCCCAGAGCCTGCCAGCAAACCTCGCCGACCCCCAGGGTGCAGACTACATCCTCGCCATGATGCAGTGGGCGGCAGCGCAGAACTCGAGCCAAGCACAAGCCCAAGGCATCTCCACTCCCGCCGCAGCAGCTCATCACAGCACTTATAGCGACGGCTACGAGCGCGAGCGTGAGCGCGAGCGTGACCGAGATGGCTATAACAGCGGCGGCCGCGATCGCGATCGCGACCAGCAACACACGCGCGGCGGCGGCGGGGACAGAGGGTCCAATGGCGGCGGCTCCAACGCCTGGTCGGGAGCCTCCAAGGGCGGCCAGGCCGACAGGGATAATGTCCCCGAGCACCTGCGCGGCATCAACCGCAGCCTCATTGGCACCAAGCAGTGCACCTTCTGGGCGCGAGGGCAGTGTGCAAAGGGCGATAAGTGCACCTTCAGACATGATTAGTCCCAAGCTTGTGACTGGTTAATTTTCCTCGCTTGATGGCTTGGCAGATAGACCGCAGTTGTGTTTTTCTTCTTTTTTTTCGTTTGTTGGTTGGATGGTTGGCTGGTTGGCTGGTTTGGACGATAGCGACATATCCTTTTTCTTTCTCCTGTGTTGTTTCGCTTCTTTGGAAGTTGGTCACACTAGCTGCTGCGCTCTGTTGCGTATGTGTGCGTGCTTGTGTGTGTGGATTGTAGTCTTTACTTGCAGCTAGTTAGCGTTGCATGGGATGAGATGGCATGGCATGGGATGGCAATGTGAAAGGGGGCGGCGTCGGCGGTTGTGGACGGGCGGTACTGCGATTGATTCAGCCATATTACGAAGAAGAAAAAGAGAGCGGAAGGAGGAGTTGCGGCTTTCTGTGGATGAGTTCAGACTGCGAAAGGAGGTGGTTGGGAAGCTTTTGGGGCTTTTCAGAGCAGGATGGAGTACAGGGGAATAGGTAGCCCCTAACGGCGAGGGCAAGATTTGATGATGCGGATGCTCGCCTCCGTCTACCATCATCCGTACCACCAGGTAGCTTGTCCATGGCACGCACACTGGGGTTGGGATGGATTAAGTGGTCAGTGTTCAGATACTGTACTAGTATAAAGACACAAGATACATGCGTACATACCAGGTACCTAGGTACCTACATACATACATACCAATGGATGACCACAGGCACCTTTCCACCCGCACGTCGAGGTCAGAGTAACTGGGTCTGATGTCTTGCAAATCATGTAAGTGAAGGTGGGTGAGTAATGGAGATTGATAACAGACTAAGGTAAGGTAGCTAAGCAAAAGCACATTTGTATTATCAGCTTCAATCACGTAGCTGTTCGCAATCATCTAGGTAATTATCCAGACCAGCACCCCGTTCTTGCTCGGGTATTACCCGACAAATTCCAAGAAAATAAACTGTTCCCAGTCAGAATAGGATATTGTGCCCCTCGGAAATCACACACTTCCACTAACTACTAGGTAGAGAAAGAGAAATAAGAAGAATGCTAGTAAACACAAAGATATCACCGATTTGTTTTCCTCACGGAAGTTCTTTCACATACTGTCTTGGCTTTCCTGGCTGACTCAATAAACTCCACATTGGGTAAAAGAAAAGAGAGAAAAGGGAAAAAGAGAGGGAGATAAAAAAAAGCTCCCCGTTGTTTCGACAATCAGGAAATACGCGTCGTCGATCCATTAGTGCAGTGTTGCATGAACACGCGTGTACATATATATAGACGAGCAGACAGAGAGAGAGATAGCATGTGTAGAATGTCCTCGACTACTCGGCTTCCAGACCGAGTCTTGCCTCGATTGTTTCGCAGATCGTGTCGACTGATGCCATTGCGCCATCTAACACAAAACAGAACAGGTCAGCTCTTTCTTTTTTCGGAAGGGTTGGCTTGGGGTCTTTACCTCCTGTGTCGCCGCATGCGAGTGTTCTGGACAATGAGGGTTAGTTACAATACGACCGAGACCATTTCGTAGAATCAAACGAGACAGAATATATCGTCCATCTTTGCTCCACAACGAGGAATGAGTACATACTTTGAGATTGGCTAGTGAGAAAAACGTGGAAATGTCAGCATTTGTTTCGATCCTATTTTTTACATATTCAGGTTAAAAAGGGGGAAACATGTCGTACCGTAAGAACCTGGAACCAGCCGCTCGTCTCCAAGGCAGCGACACCGGCGCCGTCGCCGTTGCTGGTCACGGGCTCATTGACGCCCCAGTCCTCGACGAGGACGCGCATCTGCTTTGCTGTCACGGGGTGTCTCCACATGGCCTGGATGTGTGCGAGAGAGGGTGGGCGGGGCAATCAGTTAGCCAGCTATTTCTTTTTATCGCTTCTATCGTGTATGTGAGGATGAGCGGAGGCTTACCGAGTTCATGGCTGGGGCGACGACAATGAGCTTCTTCTTGTTGTCGATGTGCTGCTGTCTGTGTCCCATGCGCGGATGACGGATGTAAGGCTGGGTCGCCGATGTTAGTCAAGGCATGGTTCTTCACCGGTCTTTGGGGCGAGGGGGTTTGCACGCACAGGTTATCGCTCATGCCATTGACGACCTGCGATGATGGTTGTGTTGGTTAGCAAGACCCGAGATATTATTGTGATGAAAATAGGGCTGTTAAGGTGTGCGTGCATACGCACCTTGGCCAGTGTGTTTGCGCTCAGTGCTATTCCGCAGAGTTAGCTGGGGTTTGAAGCCATATGAGAGAATGAGTGAGTTGAACTCACGGGCAACCACCATGATATCGGCCCCTATAATTGTTTTACCATCATTAGCAAGTTAATAAAAGGGGTATCATGGGAATCGGGGCTTGTATATCTATATATTCAAGGAACGGAAACAATCTTGCTCGTTTCTGGATGTACGTACATCTGCGTAACCTATCCACAGAATCAGCACGGAACATGAGCGCATAAATGGGACACAAGAGGCCATCACGTACTCAATGTGCAGGATGCTCGCACCGCGGCGCCAGGGGTGTGGGCCCCACTCGGCGGCATCGTCGTAGACGGCGTCGACGTTGGGGAAGTGCAGCAGCTGGGACACGGTGGGCTGCTCCTCGCTCTGGCCGTTTAGGAAGCGGCGGGCGGAGCTGGTCAGGATGATGCGGATGGACAGCTTGCCCTCGTACTTGGCCAGGGCCTCGAGGATGACGGGGACTGTGCCAGCGAGTTAGTTGAGTTCGCACTTCTGAGGCCGACTTCTCGAGGAGTGACCGGGCTGTCGGACTTGCTTTTGATGGTGGCCACGGAGCCGGATGCGCTGGAAGGATGGATCGAGTTAGTTGGGATATGCCCCCCCATCTATGAAAAATGATATGTCATGAACTTACGCTAGGAGGAGGTGCTTGCGGCAGCCATGGGGGTTGCTGCGCGAGGCAGTCAGGCTCTCGATCGAGTTGGCCCGCTCGCGCAGGAAGTGCGGGTCGTGTTGGCCGCTGACGCTTTGCAGCATTGTTTTGTTGGCTCTGTTGGTTGCGCAAGATGAAGTTTTGTATGATAAGTATCTCGAGTGGTGTTCACAGTGTATTGTAGTGTTATGCAGCGTATGAAGAAGATCGTTGGTCTTGGCAAGTCAATCGATCGAGGGAAGGTACAGGTAGGTAATAAGGTTACAGGAGGCAGCAGACAGCCAATAATTTAATTGCCTGATTGCTGGTCAATCTACGAGGTGCTGTGTTTGCGGCAACGGAGAGCGGCTACGGAGGAGATGGCGAGAATGGCATGGTGTTTGGGCTGTCGACGGAACCAAATCTGCCAAACGATGCCGAAGGCCGAGATGCGCCCACGGTTGATTCGACTGTTTGCATGTGCTGCCCTGGCCGCGACCGGGCAGGAGAGCACCCCGTCAAGCAATCATCATCTGACCCCGACCACCAGCCTGGAGGCACAAGAAGCCTTTGTTCGGAACAGAGGCATGCTTGCAATGCTATACTGCGTCCACTCCCACGCAACGACCTTCACCTTACGACGCGGTGACGTTGTTTGGTCACGGACCTGTCACACCACTGGCCCGCTGTGGGAGGGGTAGGAATGTCAAAAGCCAGGGCAACCCCCCCGCACTGAGCCGATGCTAACCCTAACCCCGCCGCCTCAGGTGGAGTCCGGTGAGTCAGTGGGTCGTCTGGCGCAAAGTGGGGCCGCCAGCCTGTTGATAAGATGCTGATCCGGCGAGAGATGACATAAAACCTATCACAATGGGTAAATGGTCCTGTAGCGGAGTGGTAACCGCGATGTTCTTATATATCTCGCACTTGAGAAGTTATGCATAGGTCGTGAGTTCGAACCTCACCAGGACCACATTGACCACCTTTTTTGCCGTTTCCAGCTTCTGGACTTGCCGCGGATGTCGTTGGTGCCTCGCCAGGCGAAAAGGGCTTCTTCCCACAGCCCAGTCCATACAATGCTCCCTCCATATATGTACGGGTGATATTTTTTGGGGTGGAAGAGACATTACAAAAAACGGTCCGTGATTCGGATGCCTCCGGACTTTGAGCTACACCGTAGGCAAGGAACCAAGTCCCTCCCTTGGCTGGCTCGAAGCTGGCCATCGTTCAGTCACACGCCACTTTCCATCCCTTTTTGGGTGAGCTCTGGGTTGTCGGTTGGAGCTCTGGAGCTCAAGACTCGAGACTGGAGGGGTCGAGCCATCCCTCCATCCCCACCGTGATCCGATTCGGCCTCTGCCGACGACGTCATACCCTAACCCTCCCTTCATATAGGTCCATGACTTTACGAACAAAGACATGCGCAAAACTGTGCTTGGTAAGGTGACTGAAAAAAACTGATACCAACTGAGACGACAGTGGAATATACCTATATATACCGTAAATATCAATCAAAACCCAGGGAATGCGAATCACAATCGAAAACGTGACGTCGCCGAGCTCCGAAGGGAAGGAGCGAGGGATGAGGCGACTTGCTCATCTGGTCTGACTCTCTGCTGGGGCCCTTGCTGGGAGCTGGGGGCAACGGGGCAATGGCGACCCTACCCCAGGTTTTCCAGGCCTCCACCCGGCACCCACTGAGCCAATGAAGCGCGTCTCTGGTGGGCTGACACCGGGGTCGCGTCACTTGCAGCTTCCGTCCGGGCTGTTCACCTTCTGTAAAGCTTCCCACCTGTCACGCCGCCGCTGCATCTCAATTCAACATCGGCGCAAGGACAACTTACCAAACACCACCACCACCAATTGAACCCCCAAACAATTGACTATAACCTCCCCCCCATCGCGCATCATCCCCCACCCTTCTCTTTCTCCCACCAGGAAGAAAACACCCACCAATCAGACAACCTCTGCCAAACAACCACAATCAAACATCATGGCTACTGAAGTTGCCAACTCGGGCACGTCGACGCCCATAGTCGAGCTCGACTCGGAGCAGCTCGCACACAGCCTCAAGGTCTCCCTCGCCGACCTGTCGGCCAAGGCTGCCGCGCTCTATGCGCACAAGAGCTATGAAGAGGCCGCTGAGGTCTACGCGCAAGCCGCCGAGATGCAGGCCGAGATAAACGGCGAGATGAGCCCCGAGAACGCAGACATCCTCTTCCTGTACGGCCGCGCCCTGTTCAAGGTCGGTCAGAGTAAGAGCGACGTCCTGGGCGGCGGCGCCCCCGAGACGAAGAAGTCCAAGCCGGCCCCCAAGCCCGCAAAGCAAGCCAAGGCCGCCGTAAGTGGCAGCAATGGTGCGCAGCAACCGCAGAATGGCGAGGGCTCGTCGGCCACCGCCGCCGCTGCTGGCAAGAAGGAGGAGCCCAGCGCCGAGAACAAGCCCATGTTCAAGTTCGAGGGCGATGAGAACTTTGAGGACTCGGACGAGGAGGCGGGCGCCGAGGAAGGCGAGGGCGAAGGCGACAAGGACGAGGAGGAGGACGACCTCGCCGTCGCCTTTGAGATCCTCGACCTTGCGCGCGTGCTCTTCAACAAGAAGCTGGAGGCCGTGCTGGCAGAGCCGGAAGTAGAAGAGGGCAAGGGCAAAGAAGAGGCTGAGGCTACTGCCGCCGAGGGAGACTCGCCCACAGTCAGACACATCAAGGAGCGCCTAGCGGACACGCACGATCTCCTCGCCGAGATCTCGCTGGAGAACGAGAGGTATGGCCAACTACCCCTCGTAAACAACTCCAGTTATCCGTGAACCCTTTTTCCCTGTCCACCCAAAAGCTAACCAAAGAATCCGCTGCCCCGAAAAAGGTATCCCAATGCCATCACAGACTCCCGCGCGTCTCTCGCCTTCAAGAAGCAGCTCTACTCCCAAGACTCGGAGATCATCGCCGAGGCGCACTTCAAGCTCTCGCTGGCTCTCGAGTTCGCGTCCATGACTAAGCCGTCGGACGATGACAATGCCGAGGGCGAGTCCAAAGAGAGCGACTCCGCCAACAACACACATATAGACCAGTCGCTCCGCGACGAGGCCGCCGACGAGCTCGAGGCCGCCATCGCCTCCACCCGCCTCAAGCTGCAGAACAAGGAAGTCGAGCTCGCGACCCTGCACAGCCCCGAGGACAACGACTTTACGCGCCAGCAGATCACCGAGGTCAAGGAGGTCATCGCCGACATGGAGCAGCGCCTCGTCGACTTGCGCGGCCCACCCATCGACATCAACTCTGCATTGGGCCTGCCTCCCCGCGGCGGCACTGCCACCCAGCAGGACGCCAGCGACGAGATCAAGAAGAACGCCAACGATCTGTCTGCGTCCGGGCTCGTCAGGAGGAAGAGAAAGGCGACCGAAGAGGCGGTCGAGGGCGAGGATGGCCTCGAGAGCAAGAAGCCGCATGCTGCTAACTGAAAGTGGCCAAAGGGAAAACAAAGAAAACAACAGAAACAGAAATGCTAGATAGGACTTGATGATGATAGATGGATGGAGGGACCGGCGGATGGGATATAGGCTTTTTTCTTTTGCCCATGAACGACGTTATGGCGCGCCACTGCTGCTGTAACCTGTCATGGTATGCATCGTGGCCTTTGTACGGGGGTGTTTTTTTCTTTTTCTCTTTGCTTTTATATCTTTTACTGGCAGTGATCGTGACGCGGGGAAAAAAGCGCCGGCACAATATTGTACGAATAACACGGTTCGCTTGCTCGGGGAGGCCGGTGCTTGCTTGCTTGCTTTGCTTGCTTGGTATCATTGCTTTCATTACTTTGGATGAGATTGGCTGTACAAGAAATGGGAGGGGTGGATGGATGGATGGATGTGTCTTTTTGATCAATTTCATCACGCCTCGTTATACCTACCTAGACTTTTATCGGATCGGACGAGACGTGAGAGGGGTTAATTTGTTGGTTGTTTACGTTCAAGTTTATTTCTGCTCCCTTGCTGTAGCAGTTCTGCTTCTAGTAAACATCCTCATGGCGCGTTCAGTCCGGACTGGCATAAGGTCTATTTGACCAACGCCGAATGAATAGTGAATGTTCTTCAGCAACCAATGACGGGCTTCTCTCCAACACGTGGTATTTCATTATATTTTAATCATGCCTGTCTTTCCCCCCTTCGTCGTCGCTCTCGTTGCTGAAAGACACTTGCTTCCTCAAGTTGGAACAAAAAACAAAAGGGGTAATTAACACACCCCGGCTTACCTATGCAATCATATATACCTACCTGGCACCGTTCCCCATCAGGTTCCAACATGAGAAAAAAAAATCCCTTTTCACAGCTGGAAATTCGCCGACGTGCTCCGACTGCTCTGGCCGGCGCCGCCCGGTCCGCGCAGATGCGCCGAGGAGCCCTTGAACAGGCTCTGCCAGATGTACGCCTCGCTGAGCAGCAGCTCAATGTCCTTCTCGGTCCACGAGCGCGTGGGCAGCGACTGCAGAAACATCATGATCTCCTGGAAGTCCATCTTGACCAGCTTGTCCGACCATTTCACCAGGAAGGCGGCGCAGACGTAGAGGTGGAACTCCGAGAAGCCTTGTTCCTCGGCCTGTAGCGCGCGCTGGCGGTCAATAACAAACATCTCGGACCGTTTCGGACCATTTCTTTTCTTATTCAAGAAGACTTGAGAAAGCACTCACCATATAGGTATCCCACATCCGTATCGTGTTCTTGACGCTGATCTCCCTCATGAGGAGACAGTTCATCCACCGGAAGCTGAACTGGATAAACTCGACATTCTCCCTCTCGAGGTGCTTGGCCAGCCCGCTGTCGATGCGGGCCGTCAGGTCGCGCAGCGCCGCCACCTGCCGCTGGATGCCGGGCTGCGCCACGATGTAGTGGTCCTGGATGCCGTCCAGCAGCTTGGTCAGGCACCAGAACGTGTCGGCCTCGACGGCGTCCAGCACCGCCTTAGGGAGCTGCCCCGGGTCCATGCCGCTCTCGATGTCGTGGTCCGTGATGTAGGTGCCCAGGAAGACCTGCCAGAAGGGCGTCACGAGGTCGTTGATGCCCTGGACGTAGCCGCTGGCCGGGTGGCGGACCGCCCAGACGTAGAGGATGCGCTCGAGTGAGCGCTGCGTGGCCTCGTACGAGTAGAGTTCGATGTGCGGGTTGGTCCGGGGCACGTCGATGCTGATCTGGTGCCAGACTGCTTCGTCGAGACCGCGCTGGGCGCCCCGTTTTATCGATGTGTTGGTCCCGCTGGTGCTGGCGCTGGCGCTGCCACCGCCGCCCGGCCTCTCGAAGGCTTGCCGCACGCCGTCGAGGTACTCCTTCCGTTTCCGCTCGAGGGTGGCCACCCGCCTCTCGCTGCTGGTCGGGAGGTAGCTGAGGAGCAGTTGCCATGTCATGGCACGGACCTCCTCAGGCACGCCGGACCAGGCCAGGGCGCGGAGGTCCGTCAGCGGTATGGTGGAGGACTGCAGAATGCGTTTGAATTTGTTTATCCTCGTTATCCTGGAGCTGATGGCATCGATCTCTTTCGGGGTCGCGTTGGCGGGCGTAGATGGGTGGCTGATTAGGTGGAGCGCGTTCGCCGGGTCGCGGAGGATGTCTTTGTACTGGGGCCGCAGGATCTTACCCTCGCTCTTCTTGGGCATGGGGTATGTGGATGTTGGCCGCTCGATGGCGATGTCGGCGCTGTTGGAGTATCGGCGCTCGTGCAGGCCGGTGAAGGTGTCGCCCATGGGGGACAGGGCGCCGCCGCTGCCGATGTCGCTCCCTTTGTTCTGGGCTGCTATCCGCCTTGTCCTCCGCTTCATGTTGGAGAGGCTCGGCAGCCCGAAATCGTCGCCGTCGTCATCCTCGTAGCCGTATAGATCGTCGCCCTCGTCGACGGTCCAGTCATCATTGGTGTTGTGGAGGAAATTCATGTAGTTCTTGAGGGGGGGGGACGAGAGTCCGGAGCCGGACTTTGGCGGCGGAGAGTGGGT